CGCTTTTATCCAAAGCTTACAGTCATGTGTGCATAAATCTTTACGTATGGGTGGTCCCGGGGATCGAACCCACTACCCTGGCGTTACAAGCGCCATGCTCTACCAATTGAGCTACAGAGATGCATTAACCCTATAATGCATCTATAATGAAGTTAGCATGTAATAACTGTGTGTTCCAGGACATGATATAATGAACCATGTAATAACTGTGTGTTCCAGGAGAGTCAGTGGCTGGACAGTGTGTCTCTGCTGATAAAGGACTCATTTGAAGGAGAGATGATTGACAACCTCTCTGGATCTGTCTTCCATCACTACTCCTCTAGCTCTCTTCCTGTCTGGAAGGACTGCAAGAGCCACCCGCAACTAGAGGTAAACACATGAACAATGCATATGTAGACGCATACACACACACAAACACACACACACACACACACACACACACACACACACTCAGTCACACACTTAGTTACACTTTTTATTACCTTTCAAATGTTCACACACAAGAACTCTGAACTCTGAAATATGCACATATGTAAATTCATATAGAACACACTCGCACACACACACATAAACACACACTATCCCCGCTGCTAGTTGTGTCCATCACAATGATAAAGTGGAATGGGCCACTCTGGAAAGTAATAACTGGGATTTGAACCTCTTCACCTGTCCTTTCGGCCTGTCTGCAGATGCTGTCAAACTATCAATCTGTCCTCTCCTCCTCTTTTACATGCTCCACCCACCTCTGATTTATCATGTCATGACACTCCCTCTCTCTCTCTCCTGACGTCTCTGTCTGCCCTTCAGCTATCTCCTGGGTTCTGTCGTTCCTGTGTGTGTGTGTGTGTGTGTGTGTGTGTGTGTGTGTGTGTGTGTGTGTGTGTGTGTGTGTGTGTGTGTGTGTGTGTGTGTGTGTGTGTGTGTGTGTGTGTGTGTGTGTGTGTGTGTGTGTGTGTGTGCGTGCGTGCGTGCGTGCGTGGTTTTGTGTTGTAAAGTATGTGTGATTGCAGTGATTGTTGTGCCCCGGGGCATGGAGAGACAACAACAACACTGAATCTTATTAAAAACTATTTTAAGGGGACGGTGGGCATGACTGCATTAAGACAACACTATATATACAAAAGTATGTGGAAACCCCTTCAAATTAGTGGATTTCGGCTATTTCAGCCACACCCGTTGCTGACAGGTGTATAAAATTGAGCACACAGCCATGCAATCTCCATAGACAAACATTGGCAGTAGAATGGCCTGACTGAAGAGCTCAGTAACTTTCAATGTGGCATCATCATAGGATGCCACCTTTCCAACAAGTCAGTTCATCAAATTTCTGCCCTGCTAGAGCTGCCCCAGTCAAGTGTAAGTTCTGTTATTGTGAAGTGGAAACATCTAGAAGCAACAACGGCTCAGCCGCGAAGTGGTAGGCCACACAAGCACACAGAACGGGATCGCTGGAGCACGTAGCGTGTAAAAACGTCTGTCCTCGGTTGCAACACTCACTACCGAGTTCCAAACTGCCTCTGGAAGCAACATCAGCACAATAACTGTTCATCGGGAGCTTCATGAAATGGGTTTCCATGGCCAAGCAGCCGCACACAAGCTTAAGATCACCATGCGCAATACCAAGCGTCGGCTGGAGGGGTGTAAAGCACGCCGCCATTGGACACCGGAGCAGTGGAAACGTGTTCTCTGGAGTGATTGATCACCCTTCACCATCTGGCAGTCCGACGGACGAATCTGTGTTAGGCGGATGCCAGGAGAACGCTACCCGCCTGAATGCATAGTGCCAACTGTAAAGTTTGGTGGAGGAGGAATAATGGTCTTGGGCTGTTTTTCATGGTTCGGGCTAGGCCCCTTAGTTCCAGCGAAGGGAAATCTTAACGCTACAGCATACAATGACATTCTAGACGATTCTGTGCTTCCAACTTTGTGGCAAGGGGAAGGCCCTTTCCTGTTTCAGCATGACAATGCTCCTGTGCACAAAGCGAGGTACCTACAGAAATAGTTTGTCGAGTTCAGTGTGGAAGAACTTGACTGGCCTGCACAGAGCCCTGACCTCAACCCCATTGGACACCTTTGGGATGAATTGGAACGCCGACTGCGAGCCAGGCCTAATCCCCCAACATCAGTGCCCGACCTCACTAATGCGCTTGTGGCTGAATGGAAGCAAGTCCCTGCAGCAATGTTCCAACATCTAGTGGAAAGCCTTCCCAGAAGAGTGGAGGCTGTTATAGGATCAAAGGGGAGACCAACTCCATATTAATGCCCATGATTTTGGAATGAAATGTTCGACGAGCAGTTGTCCACATACTTTTGGTCATGTAGTATATAGGGTCTGTCTGGAAACAACCTAACAAAGGGACATGTGATAGGTAGGGCCCTGAGTTTCTCCTGACCACATCAGGGGCCTTTATCTCTGTTTCTCTGAACACGTTCCATCCTCCCAGTCTATTTTCCCTACCTTGTCTCTCTCTCTGTCTTGCTCTCTTTTTCTAATTATCTCCCCCTTCCCTCCCTCCCTCCTCCCTCCCTCTCCCCTCCTCCCCCCCTCCCTCTCTCTTCCTGCCTCCGGCGTACTGCAGTGGTAATTTACTGGTGTATATGAGCCGTGAATCTCTCTTTATGAACCTCTTTGTCTCACTCACCCACAGGCACATGTTCATATATCGGCCCCCTCCCTCACCCCATTGGATTTCAATTCTCTATTGTTTATGTGTCCATTCTCTCTCTCTCAGTTTTAGATAACTTTCTCTCTCTCCTTCACTTTCCCTCTCCCTTTCCCCCTCTTTTTCTCTCTATCTATCTATCTATCTATCTCTCTCTCTCTCTCTCCCCCCCCTCTTTCTCCTTCTCTCTCCCTCTCTCTCCCTCCCCCTCTACAGCAGATCCGGCTGGCAGAGATAGAGCAGGCGTCTCTGAGGTCAGACCAAATGTCAGACAAGTCGTCCTCTCCAGCCCTACCTGATGACCTCAGCCTGGACGACCAGAGTGTCCACCAGCTGCTGGTGCGGGAGTGCAAGGTAGAGATGGCGAGATGGAGGGGTTATAAATGGGAAAGGGTGTTTTGGAGGGCAATGGAGGGAGTTGAAACATGGGACTGGGTAGCAGACCTGGGTTCAAATATTTTTGAGCATGCTTTAGCCATCCTGCAGTGCCAATAGGGCAAGGTCTGCACTTTAGAGGCTATTCCATAAATTCCATTGCACCAGGCAAGTTCAATGAAGTGCAGCTAAAGTATTTGTAGGATTTCGAATACTATTTGAACCCTTGTCTGCTCAGGTCTGAGGATGGGGTGATAGAGGGGATGGACAGCGGGTTCCCTTGGTCTCCAGTACAGAAAGAATACTTGCATTCCAACAAAGGAAGCATGACATAAGGTTCCAGGGGCATACGAATGAATCCTGAATCCTGCTGAAGCTCTAATCTCCTGTACAGAGACCTTCAGGAATAGAAATCCATTCAATCTACTGCCTCCCCTCCGGCCTGTGAGGGCTATCTTCCTCTTTATCCTCTACTACATCGTTCCTCCCTTTCCTTTACCCCCCTCTGGCTATTACACCTCTGTCTGCCCCATCCCTCCCTATCTTCCTATCATCCCTCCCTGAGCGTTATCCTTCCCTCTAGTCATTTAATGCTGGTCAGAAGTGTGTGGGGGGTTGTGTATGTGTATGTGTGTTTATACCCGTTTTACTATACTTATGAGTACCAGAAGTAAGACATAGGTGTGTGTGTGTGTGTGTGTGTGTGTGTGTGTGTGTGTGTGTGTGTGTGTGTGTGTGTGTGTGTGTGTGTGTGTGTGTGTGTGTGTGTGTGTGTGTGTGTGTGTGTGAGTGTGAGTGAGAGAGAGAGAGAGAGAGACACACAGAGACACACACAGAGACACACAGACTCGGCTGTGTCCAGATAGCACACAAGGCTAACAGGGTTGCTATGGGGCATAATCAGTATTCCAGAGGTGATTTGAATCAGAAGTGCTCATAGTTGATAGTAATATCCGGATAAAGGTCCTAGTGGTTTCGCTTTTATTTTATTTAACTTTTATCTGAACCAGGAAGTCCATTACAGATAAAGAATCTCTTTAGATAAAAGTGTATGCTAGCAGGTTAGGAGCTTGGAAGCAAGCTGGCACTCCCTTCAGTACTGCACGCTATCATGCCCCACTCTACATTTAATTATTATAACAGACAACATAAACAGGTACAGTGTGTGTCAACATGTGTGTTTTCTCCCCCAGGATGAGAAGGGCAGTGACTCCCAGGGCTTAGAGGAAGCTGGTGGAGGAGGGGGCTCCCTGACCCAGGCCCAGACAGGGGGGTCGAGGCACTGCAGGGCCCACAGTTCAGTAGCCAAAGAGGGGACTCCACTGCTGGTGGAGGTGGGGGTCCATCAGAGACACGAGACCCCATCCCAACACAGCCCTGGTGAGTCCAGTCATACCCTCTGCTCCAGCCTCTCCAGCCTAATGTGTATTGCTGTGTGTGTGTGTGTGTATATCGGAGGGGTTGGGGAAGAAAGCAATATTTTTATATATGCATTCGGAAAGTATTCAGACCCCTTCACTTTTTCTACACTTTGTTACATTACAGCCTTATTCTAAAATTGATTAAATATTTTTTTCCCCTCATCAATCTACACACAATACCCCATAATGACAAAGCAAAAACAGGTTTAAAAACAGAAATACCTTATTTATATAAGTATTTAGACCCTTTGCTATGAGACTTGAAATTGAGCACAGGTGCATCCTGTTTCCATTGATCATCCTTGAGATGTTTCTACAGGCACAGATCTGGGGAAGGGTATCAAAAAATGTCTAAAGCATTGAAGGTCCCCAAGAACACAGTGGCCTCCATCATTCTTAAATGGAAGATGTTTAGAACCCCCAAGACTCTTCCTAGAGCTGGCCACCCGGTCAAACTGAGCAATCGGGGGAGAAGGACCTTGGTCAGGGAGGTGACCAAGAACCCAATGGTCACTCTGACAGGGCTCCAGAGTTCCTTGGTGGAGATGGGAGAACCTTCCAGAAGGACAACCATCTCTGCAGCACTCCACCAATCAGGCCTTTATGGTGGCCAGACGGAAGCCACTCCTCAGTAAAAGGCACAACAACCCACTTGGAGTTTGCCAAAAGGCACCTAAAGGACTCTCATACCATGAGAAACAAGATTCTCTGGTCTGATGAAACCAAGATTGACCTCTTTAGCCTGAATGCCAAGCGTCACGTCTGGAGAAAACCAGGCACCGCTCATCACCTGGCCAATACCATCCCTACGGTGAAGTATGGGGGCATCGTGCTGTGGGGATGTTTTTCAGCGGCAGGGACTGGGAGACTGTCAGGATCGAGGGAAAGATGAACGGAGCAAAGTACAGAGAGATCCTTGATGAAAACCTGCTCCAGAGCACTCAGGTCCTCAGACTGGGACGAAGGTTCACCTTCCAATAGGACAATGACTCTAAGCACACAGCCAAGACAACGCAGGAGTGGCTTCGGGACAAGTCTCTGAATGTTCTTGCCAAAGCCCGGACTTGAACCCGATAGAATATCTCTGGAGAGACCTGAAAATAGCTGTGCAGCGACTCTCCCCATCCAACCTGAAAGAGCTTGAGAGGATCTGCAGAGAAGAATAGGAGAAACTCCCCAAATACAGGTGTGCCAAGCTTGTAGCGTCATACCCAAGAAGACTCAAGGCTGTAATTGCTGCCAAAGGTGCTTCAACAAAGTACTGAGTAAAGGGTCTGAATACTTATGTAAATGTGATATTTCCGTATTATTATTATTAATTTTTTGGGGGGGGCAAACATTTAAAAAAAAAAATGTTTTTGCTTTGTCATTATGGGGTATTGTGTGTAGATTTAATTTAATTTAATCCATTTTAAATTTCGTAACAAAATGTGGAAAAAGTGAAGGGGTCTGAATACTTTCCGAATGCACTGTATATGGACTATCTTATCTTTTCACATTAACCAAACCTGCAATAAAATCTTCAAATCGGTGTACGCGACCAGTAAACTTTGATTTGATTTGAACTGAGCTGAGCTAAGCTGAGCTGTACTTAGCCAGCCCAGCACAGTCCAGGTTGGTCCTACACTCTTAGAAAAAAGGGTCTTCGGCTATCGCCATAGGAGAACCCTTTTGTTTCCAGGTAGAATTCTTATGGGTTCCATGTAGAACCCTCTGTGGAAAGGGTTCCACATGGAGCCCAATAGGGTTATACCTGGAACCAAAAGGGTTCTACCTGGAAACAAAAAGGGTTCTTCAAACTGTTCTCCTATTGGGACAGCCGAAAGAACCCTTTTAGGTTCTAGATAGCAGGTAATGTATTTTTAAGAGTGTATTCATGGGTTGCACCTCCGTCGCTCAGTTGCGTCTTGACATTTTTATGAACGTTTTCCAGCCGCTCTCCGCCATAGTGGTGCCCGAAAGTCGAGTGATGCCCAGTCATTCTGAACGGGTTCTAATGACTGTTTCATCTAAATTACACTATAGTGGCCTGGAAATATGATGACATTGCTAAATTAGGCAAATAATTAGTGGGAAACAACTTTGCCATCCTTATCATGTCGTAAAATTTACTTTAGAGAGATGGCAATATTGCCGTTAGCTAGCAAAATGCGTAAAACATTGCTAGCAATGCTAACATTACCTAGCTAAAATTCGGTCCCCGCAATCTTAGCTAGTTAGCTAAAGTTATACTGCATCTTAAGTCAGTCTGGCAACATCACAATGATGACAACAGGTTTTCCTACTAATTAGTTGCCTTCTTTTGAAATCTTGTTTCCAAGCCACTATAATGCACTTTAGACAGAATCTTCATTAGCGCCAATTGAGAATGTATTAAGTAGAACATTCAGTCGGACGCAGTGCCTAAATAGAATCTTCATAACAGTATTTTTAACGCAACGTGCAATCCATGAATAGAGTGAATCAGACATCACAGTACAGTGCAATACAGTACAGTGGCATTGTTGTACTCCCTGGAATCATCTGTATTATTTGCCTGGTCTTTGTTAGTCTAATCATCAATATCAGTAATGACTGTTTATCCCTACAGGCTAAATGGATTGTATTTATGTGGTGTTGTCACGCCCTGACTCTGAGTCAGGGTGTGTATTTTTTGTGGTTATGTTCTATGTTGGATTTTCTATGTTTTAGATCTAGAATGTGTAGATCTATGTTGGCCGGGGTGGTTCCCAATCAGAGGCAGCTGTAGCTCGTTGTCTCTGATTGGGGACCATACTTAGGCAACCTTTTGGCACCTGTTAGTTGTGGGATCTTGTTCCGTGTGAGGTATGTTATTTGTCTACCTTGGACTTCACGTTTCGTTTGTTGTTTTTGTCGTGTGTTTATTCGCTTAATAAACATGTATGCTTATCACGCTGCGCCTTGGTCCTTCTCGTCCGTAAACGATCGTGACAGAAGATCCCACCATATGAGGACCAAGCAGCATGTCCAGGAGCAGACAGCCTGGACCTGGGAGGAGATCCTGGACGGAAAGGGATCCTGGACTTGGGAGGAGATTCAGGCCGGGATGGATCGCCGTCCTTGGGAGGAGACAGTGGAGGCGCGATATAGAGAGGAGCAGCGGCAACGCGGAAGGCGCCGGCCGAGGAAGAAGCCCGAGAGACAGCCCCAATAATTTGTTTTGGGGGGGCTAAAAGGGTGGTTGGCGGAGCCTAGAGGTAGAGCAGAGCCAACTCCCCGTACTCACGCGAGGAGGAGTGTGACTGGGCAGGCTCCGTATTATGCGGAGCTACGTACTGTGTCGCCAGTGTTCCGGCACAGTCCTGTACGTCCTGTGCTAGCACCACGCACGTGTCGTGCGAAGATGGGCATTCAGCCAGGACGGGGTGTGCCGGCTCAACGCTCCTGGTCTCCAGTACGCCTCCTTGGTCCCGCATATCCTGCGCCTGTTCTACGAGCTGTATCGCCAGTGCGCGTGCACAACCCAGTGCGTCCTGTGCCAGCGCCCCGCATGTGTAGTGCGAAAGTGGGCAGCCAGCCAGGACGGGTTGTGCCAGCTCTCCGCTCCAGACCTCCAGTCCGCCTTCACAGTCCGGTCCGGCCCGTTCCTGTCCCTCGCACCAAGCCAGTGGTGCGCGTCGCCAGCCCGGTCCGGCCTGTTCCTGCCCCTCGCACCAAGCCAGTGATGCGCGTCGCCAGCCCGGCCCGGCCTGTTCCTGCCCCTCGCACCAAACCAGTGGTGTGCGTCGCCAGCCCGGCCCGGCCTGTTCCTGCCCCTCGCACCAAGCCTGTGAGGCGCGTCGCCAGCCCGGCCCGGCCTGTTCCTGCCCCTTGCACCAAGCCAGTGGTGCGCGTCGCCAGCCCGGTCCGGCCTGTTTCTGTCCCTCGCACCAAGCCTGTGGTGCGCGTCGCCAGTCCGGTACGGCCCGTTCCTGCTCCCCGCACCAAGCCAGTGGTGCGCGTCGTCAGCCCGGTCCGTTCCTGCTCCCCGCACCAAGCCAGTGGTGCGTGTGTCCAGTCCGGCACGGCCCGTGCCTGTTCCACCGGTGCCTGGTCTGGCACCGGTCAGCTGCTCCACTCCGGAGCCAGAGCAATCCGCTTCCACCGGGGTCCGGTCCAACTCCGGTCAGCGGATCCACTCCGTAGCCAGAGCAATCCGCTCCACCGGGGTCCAGTCCAGCTCCAGTCAACCGCTCCACTCCAGAGCCAGAGCAGTCCTCTCCACCGGTGCCTGATCCAGCTCCGGTCAGCGGCTCCACTCCAGAGCCAGAGCAGTTCGATCCACCGTCGTCGGGTCCAGCTCCAGTCAGCGGTTCCAGTCCAGACCCAGACGTCAGCCCCTCTCCAGGTTCAGGGTCTCCCACATCAGGGTCCAGACAGGGCTTGGTACGTCGTGGGAGGAAGGAGAGGGCAAGCAGCGCGCCGAGGTCCAGACCAGACCAGGGGTGCAACAGGGAGGTGGAAAGTAAGTGGTGGTCACGCCCGGAGCCGGATCCACCTCCGAGGCGGAATGCCCACCCGGCCCCTACCCTGTTATGTTTTATGTGGCGCGGTCGGAGTCCGCACCTTTGGGGGGGGGGTACTGTAACGGCACCCCTGTACCTTCAGGCTCTGATCAGTCCCTACACCCAAACGAGGACATTGCGTTCATCCACCTCTGGCCTGCTGGCTCCCCTTCCTCTGCGGAAGCACAGCTCCCCCTCAGCCCAGTCAAAACTGTTCGCTGCTCTGGCACCCCAATGGTGGAACAAGCTCCCTCACGACGCCAGGACAGCGGAGTCACTCACCACCTTCCGGAGACATTTGAAACCCCACCTCTTTAAGGAATACCTGGGATAGGCTAAAGTATTCCTTCTAACCCCCCCCCCCCCCCCCCCCCCCCCAAATTGTAAAGTGGTTATCCCACTGGCTATAGGGTGAACGCACCAATTTGTGAGTCGCTCTGGCTAAGAGCGTCTGCTAAATGACGTTAATGTGCCCTTGAGCAAGGCACTTAACCCTAATTGCTCCTGTAAGTCGCTCTGGTTAAGAGCGTCTGCTAAATGACTAAAATGTAAATGTAAATGTACTGTCATGCCCTGACTCTGAGGACTTGTATTTGTTGAGTCAGGGTGTGTATTTTTTGTGGTTATGTTCTATGTTGGATTTTCTATGTTTTAGATCTAGAATGTGTAGATCTATGTTGGCCGGGGTGGTTCCCAATCAGAGGCAGCTGTAGCTCGTTGTCTCTGATTGGGGACCATACTTAGGCAACCTTTTGGCACCTGTTAGTTGTGGGATCTTGTTCCGTGTGAGGTATGTTATTTGTCTACCTTGGACTTCACGTTTCGTTTGTTGTTTTTGTCGTGTGTTTATTCGCTTAATAAACATGTATGCTTATCACGCTGCGCCTTGGTCCTTCTCGTCCGTAAACGATCGTGACAGGTGTTTCACTCGGGATCTAGATGGAATAGTATATTTGCCTTACAGCCTTTCTCTCTGTCCCCAGGTGGGGCCTCCTGCAGAAGCACTAAGGCAGGAGAAGGATCAGATGAGGGAGGAAGAGGAGGAGGAGGAGAAGGAGGAGGAGAAGGAGGAGGAGGAGGAGGAGGAGGAGGAAGAGAAGGAGCGGCCAGTGCCTCTGGTTCTCCTGCTCTTATCCGTCTGCCAGCGGAGTTCTTCCACCCTGTGGCAGCAGCGGCCCTGCCGGTGCCCCTTAGGGCCAGAGTAGGGCGCACCTCGCAGGGTCTCAGACTCACCTCCCCGGCCTCCTGGGCCTCCCTGCGCTCCCCAGGAGCCCACAGCCGGGTGCTCTGCACGCAGGTAAGACCTGGCTGTATGTATGTAACAGACACCAACACACTGAATAGTGTACATCCTATAGGGTCTAATGTTAGATCGAGAAATGTACACAAACCTCAGGCTTCCCTCTGATTGGCTAATGTATGTGTCCACCCCCTTGTTACCTTTAATGAGTGTCTGCCACACTGTTTGGTGCTGTTATGACCCTTTTGTGTTGTACACCATAGACTGCCACCAGACCAACCAACAGACTGCACAGTACACATTGCACATCCTACAGTATAGTCAGCCAAACATGGACTCTAACGTTGTTATATATTACAATATCTCACTCCACATCTCCACCCTGCCCCTCTCTCTCTGTCCTCAGTACCCGTCCCATAGTGACTCGTCTCTGGCCACGGGGAGCTCCGATGGCAGCCTCCAGACCACCCTGGAGGAAGGACTCAGCTTCAGTGTTTCGCCCCCTCAAGACCTGAAGCCCCCTCTCCCCCTGCTCTGCCCCCTGCCCCACCCGCTCCCTGAGGACTCCACCAGCTGCCCACCAGGCCAGACTCTGAGACCGCGGCCCAGCCCCTCGTCAGGCCCTGCCCTCACCCTCCAGGCCACTCGGGGCCACCAGCGGAGCCAGAGCAGCGGCAGGGGTAGCATCAGCCCCGGCTACACCCGGGAGGACTCCATGAACCCCGATCTGTGCGACCTGGAGGACCTGGGCATCGGGATCAGTTCGTCCATCGGGGGGTGTAGCTCCAGCCAGGCGGGCAACAGCGAACACTTGTCGGAGACGCTAAGCAGCCTGTCGCTCACATCGTTGCTCTCGCCCGCCTCCCTGGCGCCCCCAGGGGTGAAGAAATGCAACAGCACGGGGAGCTTGGACCAGGGGGCGAGGAGGGGGGAGGGGAGACAGATCCTAGGATTGGAGTTGGACTCCCAGGGCTTCCTGGCCAACCCGTGGGGAGAGAGTGGGGGAGGCAGAGGAGAGGAGGGACAGTTGGGAGAGGCAACGGGCCTCAAGGGGAATAGCTCAAGCCAAACGACAGTAGGGTCCTGTAGTAAAAACAGATGAAGCCTGAATCCTTTGTTGTCTACTACCACTCCTATTAGGATTCATCAACCCATACTGTTCCTCTCTGTCCCCCTCAGGCAGAGAGAAGTTTGACGTTTTTGACAACGTGTGATGTAATCCCGTGAATTCCTATAACCAAACCCCTCCCTCTCTCTATATATATATTTATGTTTATGACCCCCCTGTCCCATTTTGTGCTACCCTGTGGCAGTGGTTCAGGTGTGGAGGGTCAGAGGTCAAACGGTGGAAGGTTAAAGGGGATTACAGGTGTGACCCCTGTGGTGGGGGATGGGATGGACCCCCCATTGTACCCCTCTGGAGGAGAAGGACCCCCAGAGTAGGAGACAGACCAGGAGGGCTGCATCATCATATCAGGGAGATATACATAGAAGACATAGACAGAGACAAGCTGAGACAGAGATCTAACGAGAACATTTTTGTCTTATCATCGTTCCTGTTTTCCTGTTTGTTTTCCTTTTTTCTTCGGCTTCACAGAAGTTTAAAATGCAAAAATAGAATATCTAAAAAAAAAACTGAGCTGATCAAGCCAACAGTGTGGCTGTACGTCGCGGTGTAGGAGGAGGCTGTATGTACGTTGCGGTGTAGGATGAGGCTGAATGTACGTCACGGTGTAGGAGGAGGAAGTTTCTCCTGGAGGGCAGAAGCCAGATCTAATTCCCATCTGTTGTGGCAGACGGAGGCTACAGGTCCTTGTGTGTGGAGTGGAGGAGGGCTGAGGAGGCCTCGGTTGAACAGAGGTAGTGTAGAGTTCAGTTGAGAAGGAGTGCTGAGACTTAGGTAGCAAAGGCATGCATTAACTTATCATCACCATCACCTAACCCCTTCCCTCCATCGGTACTTTTCAGGAAGGTGTGTGTGAGTGTGAGTGTGTGTGTGAGTGTGTGTACGTGTGTGTGTCTAAGTGATAGTACAACAGGAAAAAGAGAGACCATACTAAGATCCCACTCCTGCATGCAGTGGTTTGTGAAATGGCTATTTGATCCCAGCGCCACTCACTCAGAGAGGAGAACAGGGAATGAATAAGAGAGACAGGACAGCCTGCTATATCCACTCACAGTAGGAGAGCCTCTCTGTCAAAGACACTGGCCCTCCTGAGACAAACAAACTGAGGTGAGGAGACGAGACGAGCACCATTCACTCTGGGAGATGAAAAACTCACACCTGCATACAGTTGCTTCACAATGGGATGTGTGTGAAATTCAAACCTGTCACTTCTTTCTCTTTGTCACTTTGCGAAAATAAGGAAGGAAGAATATATCAGAGATATGAATTCCAGACCACTAGAGCCTCCTCCTAGAAGATGGAGGCAGTTTGCCTGCATGATGGAATTATTGCATTTTACCAAGAGTTTTAATATATATACCGAAGTGTATCAAGATGTCAATGTTGGGATGATAATTATAAAGTGGTTTCTATTCCAATATTTTTTTAGAATACAGAATAGGAGCGCGACAGTGTTGTCATGACTTTGTCCTTAACCTATACCTTACCCGTACGATTTCTCGTATAACTTATTGTCGAAAACCTTTTGTCTGCAAGTGGCTTTCAGTTTTATAATGTGGGGTTAAAAATATATACTTTTTATTATTAAAAGTGTGTGGAGAGAACAAACAAGCAAAAAAATAATTAAATAAGCTCTGTGCGCTGAAGAAAAAGTTCCCTTGGGCACACGGAACTTTGGGAATTTTCGTTCCTCCTGGAATTTTGGATTTTGGAATCCCAGATGAAGACAAAAGGAGGGAAGGGCCATAATTTCGCAGCACAGGAGAACATTTCCTAATCACAGACATTCCAGGGACGAACAGGGAAAGTTGTTGCTTAGCTTAGCCTTCTATGCTAACACCAAGACGAAAAAACATTGCTGATCTTTTTGAAAGCTTTAATTTGAGTGTCATACAATACATAATGACACATTGAATTATTGACACATCAATGTTCCTTAGCATGGTTATGGGATTGCAATAGGATGCTTCTCCTTGTTTAAAATATACGTAATGCACTCACCCCTTCTATCTCTCTCTCTAACACACATCTGTAGTAGCAAACCCTAGTTTTGATATCAAGCTGTCACTGTAACAATTAATGAACTTTGCATATTTTCCCAACTTTTTGGTATGCCACTCAGTACCTCTGAGATGAAGTGGCCATCTTAGCCTGACCTAGAATACACTCTTGTACTCCTAGTGTTTTTTTTGTGTGTTTTTTTCTCATTGAGGTGATGAGCAAAGTTTGGTTTGACCTGTTTAATGAACTTCATTGCCATTTAATTTCATCACAGGTGATTTGTCTTTAACATGTTTGTAACATGTGGGATATCGGGTGAGTGATTATTGCTATGGGTTGTCTGTTACTATAACTTCAGGAGATGCCACTTTATTATTATAGTCCACACCTGGACCGTCTTGGTTAATGGTGGTGGGAATAGGTAGAAGTTGCCCCTAACCACTGATACAGGGTCAGATATTAGTTAATCCCCTTAATGTTTAAGGTTAGAATAAAGGGTTGAGTAATCTGATCCTAGATCTGTGGTTAGGGGCGACTTCTACCTCAAGGTGTTTTAGAAGTAAAACATGAGTGTGTGGGTTGACAGGAACCATAACGAAACCTTGAAGGGCTGTTTTAGCTTCAAAGATGTTCTCATAAATGACGAGACAAACCTCTTAAGTCAATGACTATGGCATCAAAGGTAAGCCTAATGGCACAGCAATAAATGTTCTATGTGTTTGCCCTGAGTACATGATGTCATAGTAGTTCTTATCTCACCACAGTATAATTGTAGCCTGCTGTATCATGCCCTTTTTCTGACAAAACAACAATGTCCTTGTGGAGTTTTTCTGCCTTCTGAACTAACAGCCAATCAAAATACATTTCTGACTTTCCGGAGACCAATCAGGAGAGAGCTGGGCTGCCACTGGATCAGATGAACACGAGGTCATTTAGAACTCAGGGTCGAGGGATCAAACCACTAGAGAATAAAGTGTACATATGTCAACAGAGGAATTTCCAGTGAGATGGTACAGTACTTTAACACACAACATGCTACAATGCACAGTGCCTGATGTATATATACAATCTGTACATAACTTTTACTGTATGCTATGCTATCAACAATAATGACAACACCTAAAATATATGCAGTTTGTGGAGATTTAAAGCATACAACCAATCAAACCTTTTATTTTACATGATAGATCCACAGATACAAGTGTTATTGTATCATGGAACGTGAAGGGAATGAACAAGCCAATGAAGATCCACAAAATATCACACAGTGGACCATGGATTTCCCCACATGTGCAGGGTTCAGAGAGAAACTAGCATTGACAGGAAGCATTTCCCTGACATGAATCTGACATGTTCCCGTTCTCCACCCAACAGCAGAAACATGTTAGCTAGTACAGTCGCTGTAACATATTAGTCTGAGATAGTGACCTCACTCAGAGAGTGACTGCTTTGGTTCAGGGGAATTAGAATACATAGACACCATATCTGACCGGGTGTAGAGGGTGTGGAGGGTGTGAGGGGTTGTTGGAGGTGTGTGTTGTAGAGGGTGTGGAGGGTGTGGAGGGTGTAGGGGTGTGGAGGGTGTGAGCAGGGTTTCTCAATTCCGGTCCTGGAGGGCCGAACACTTTGGTTTTTATGTCTACTGGTAGTTTAATTGATCACCTGGTGTCGGTCTGAATTGCCTGATTAGAAGGGTAGGATGAAACAGGAGGGTTTGCGGCCCTCAGGACGGAATTGAAGACCTGGTGTAGAGGGTGTAGAGGGTGTAGAGGGTGTGGGTGTAGAGGGTGTAGTGGGTATGGGGGTTGTGGAGGATGTAGAGAGTGTAGAGGATGTGGAGGGTGTGGAGTGTGTAGAGGGTGTGTGGATTGGTGGGTCATTGGGTAGGTAACATACTGTATCTAGCTGGACAGAGTGTATAATGCAGAGTGAAATGAGAAGTAAGGGGAGAATGAGAGATAGAAAGAGAGTGAAAGACAACAGGTTGTTAGCATTGCCTGACTGCAGGGCCGGCTCCATTTATAAGCGAATTACCGACCGGGCATGAAGGGCACGTGTCCAGGAGCCCTGACCTTCAGGGGGGCCCCATTTGATTTTGTTAGCCACTCTCACTCAGATATAATTTTAACATGGCAAAATAAGTCATGGCAAAATGTGTTGAATTTCAGGAAATTAGCTTTAAAACGTTCTCTCTGCCCCATGGCCAAATTAGTAGAATTGCATGAAATGTGTTATAAAATTGGAAAATGTTCTCTCTATCCCATGGCAAAATGTGTAGAATTACAAAAAACATTTTCCCTTTTTGGGGGGCTTAGGGCCCCCAAAAGGCTAGAGCCGGCCCTGCCTGACTGAGCCGGTGGTGCAAGAGCACATTACGTTCTTCAAATGTCACAGTGGGGGGTGAGTGTGTGTGCCTTCTATCTGCACGTGGCCTGTTGCCAAAGTTCAAATCTCCCCTAGAGACTGAGGGGTTGAGGCTGGTTGTAGCTCTGTCTCATTACTCTGCTACTCTCCATGCCAGACCAAGGTTCCCAGGTCAGTGTTATTGACCTCTAGGTAGCCTTCCATGCCAGACCCAGAATCCTAGACACAGAGGCTGTTGAAAGAGACTAATCCCAGGTAAAACAAGACCAAGGTCATTGAAGAGCTCTGCAAAGCTCAGGGACATTAGACAGACAACCTCAATCTCCATAAACTCAAGTGTTTGATAGATTTTTCTCTGCGAACAGCAAGGTTGGACGCACTTCTACTATGGCCTGTCGGAGCCTAGCATTGGTTTTATAAAATGCACTATGTCTTCCACATTTTAATCATACAGGCCATAGTTCCTCATCTTCAGAAAACCTATAACGAGTACAGGAGTAGCTGCAGGGAAAAAAAAGGACCAGAGTATTTTAATCCTCGTTCACATACCCCCCTTAAATAAAGTTCTCAGCTCAGATTTTAAATCAAAGTGATTTTCTCCCGGCTTCGACGTTGGACTTGATTAAAGTGGATGATGGCAGACTTCTTTTCAAAGCAGGGAACATTTTCTGGTGGAGACAGGTTAGGTAAAATTAGGAATTAAGGAGTCAGCCCAGAGCCCTGAGGTCCCTTCAAATGGTCTGAGCACCAAATGAGTTCCAACCATATTTATCTCATTACTGGTTCAGCCCAGGCTACAGAGGCAAGGGTGTAGCGAAACTTCTGACATCCCCGTAACTTTTGGTGTTTGATCAGGAAATGGTGGATGTGAGGTAATTAGAGGTGTTTTACAGTGCTTGTAGCCTAATGAGACACTTATGGTGAGAAGGATGGTTTTAGATAAGAGAAGGGGTGGCGGCGAAATAAGTTTTGAAAACAGAGAAGATACGCTGTAGTAAATTGCTAATAAAGTGCTACTGTGTATTCCCTTGGATCATCATGATCTACAATGGGTTACCAAGTGATCTCCGGCTGTCTACATTAGTATTTTAAACTCGTATCCTTTTTGGTGTTTTGGAGGTGGCTCATATTGTTTACTTCTCATATGTTATATGGTGAACGTATTCTTTGAGGTGAAGGAGTATTTGGGGGATATTTTAATTAATTCAATATTTATATTTTCCCTCCCCTCTCTCCTTCCTTCCTCCAAACCCTCCCCCCCTCTCTCCTCCCTCCCTCCCTCCCTCCCTCCCTCTCGTTCTCCCAGACTAAGTACTTGATCACAGCTGTGAGAAACCTTGCCAAAAAGCTCACACTTCCACACACCTGAGGCCCAACACACACACACACATGCGCACACCCTCGCGTCAAGGCTGCTTATGGAAAACCGCTGCTTTCTTCCGTCAAGGCCATGTGTAGAGCCCTGCGAGTTGTCCAGGCCCATTGATTTAACCAGCGACACCAGAGACAAAGATAAAGGAAGATTATAGAAGCAGCACAACAAAAGGATCAGTGAACCAGCAGACAAACTGAGTAACAGAGGACTGAATGAGATCAGGAAATGGCTGTCGATCCACAACCCTGAAGAGATTTCAACGGAAACCAAAATATGTTCTGATTCTCTCTCACTCCCCCTCTCTCCATCTCACTCTCTCTGATTTCATTTTAGCTCTGTAAAGGTGGTATTTTCTAGCGTTCTATACAACCAGACCTACGCATTGTCTCCAGTTCAAAAGGCCTGTGAATGAGCTGATGTTGGTAATGACGCTTTGAACTTGCCGTGCTAGGCACCTGGTTTTTCTGGTGCTCTCGCTCTCTCGCTCTCTCTCTTTCTTTCTCTCGTTCTCTCTCTCTTCTCTCTCACTTTCTCTCTCTTTCTCTCTCTTCTCTCTCTTTCCTCATCCTGTGTGGTGTTGAGTAGACTAATTGGAGGGATCCAGCCCACTGTAGCACTGGGGCGGCAGGTAGCTTAGTGGTTAAGAGCGTTGTGCCAGTAACCGAAAGGTCGCTGGTTCGAATCCCCGAGCCGACTAGGTGAAAAATCTGTCGATGTGCCCTTGAGCAAGGCACTTAACCCTGATTGCTCCTGTAAGTCGCTCTGGATAAGAGCGTCTGCTAAAATGACTAAAAATGTAAAAAATGTAGCAGGTATTGCGAGGGAGTGTGGTATAAAACCAGGGAGTGTGTTAAAAGTTTATCTGAGGATCAGTGGTGAATATGGACAAGCTGATGTGATTTTATCCTTCTGGACTAAATTTGTCCCCTCTCCCTCTCTTTCTTCCGATCTCCCTCTCTCCATATCTCTCTTTCTCCCTTCCTCTCAGAGGTAAAGTCATTAGTAATGTAAGAGTACCTATGAAAAGGAAACTGGGAGCGATAAATATGTGGGATTATTTGCTGAATATGCTGGTTTCATATGTTAGATGGATTTCATTATAGTTATCCGTGGTTAATGTTCATAGTATCTCTGGCTATTGTAAGACAACGCTCACAGCTGGTTAAAGATATCCAACCCATGACATTGTAGGAAATGTATATATGTGAAATTGATATTCTGTAAAGAGTTAAAAACAACCTCCACCTTTGAAGTTTTCTGTAACATGAAGCCAAAATGTCCTCAATTTATATATACATTGAAAACAGCAGGTACTATCACAGAATGGTAAAGTACTATGCTTACACTGCAGTAAGCATGCTTAATTAGCATATGGTTGTAGCATGGGCGCTTATTAACATGCAAATGTTAAACAAATTATCTGATGAGATGCTAATGTTGTTTTGTTTGAGGTGCTGTTGTCTCCCCTCTCTCTCTCCAGACATACCATATTTCTTCCAGGCAGTCCCATGAAGTGTCAATATTCTTGTTATTAAGTGTGCCCAAGCACGGCGCTTAGATTGAATTACAGAGTTACGGCAGACCTCGCCAGCACGCAAGTTAAGAGGACCCTAAAAATCCAAATGTTATTGTTTACAAGATAAAAACTGGAGGGGGACAGGTAGGGATGGATTTAACTGCATCCTTCAAATAAATGTCACACAGTTGAATAGTTGGATACAGCTAGTGTCCATGCAGAGTCCATCATCAAGTTTGTTTTTAACTCGAGAGTTTCGTAACAGTGCTTTTAAATCATTGTTTATCTTCTATCCGAGAATATCAAACACAAAGCGGGACATTTTGTAATATGGCTATCATGTGTTGGTTTTGTAATTATTTTAACCTTTTGGAATTTAGATTAAACATACTTCAAAGTCTCTCTCATTTTTACATTAAAGGCCTAGTTCAAATCTGGTGATATACAAACAAGTAGGCCTACTCTTTTAATTTAGTTTGGTTGACATTAAAATAATATTAATATAAAATAGCAAAACATATACATTCTGTACCCATAAGCATGCAGGTTTTAGCATGTGTTTTAGCTTTTGGACTCTTGGTTCAAAATGACATAAGATGATCAATGGATGGTACTAATACAGATCATATTGATATTCACCTGCTAATCTAGATCAATAGTAGTTCTTGATTTCTCCTACTTTGCGTCTAGGCATACTCAATGTACATCTTCTTTAGAGTGGCCCAAAGTCAGCGATTAACTATGTCCCACAAATTCAAATTCTCCCTCTCTCCACCCCCCTCCCCCTCTCTCACTCTTTCTCACGTTCTCTCATCACTCTCTATTTTATCCCTTCTCCCTCCCTATCTCACTCTCCCCCATCCCTCTATCTCTCTCTCTAATTGGCCATGGTGGCTGTGTAGGTGTAACCAATAACGGGTCCCAGTCAGAGTTTCAATTAAAAAGTGGTGTGGTGATATTGAAAAGGGATTAGCCCACAGATTGTTTTTGCTTGGGTTGACATTAGCTCAGTGGAATCCAATAATAACTGTCTGGCGTGTGTTTGGGGGGGAGAAAACAATATTAGCTTCAATTTAACGCTACTATTTTAAACTCAATACCGAAATTACACAGATGGCTTATTATTATTTTAAAGTGAAAGAGGGATAGTCTACTCTATATAGTGCATTCAGCTGGTAATTGCATCACACTTGACAATAAGACAGAGCCTATATGAGGTAACACAGATTTCAGGTAACACAGTGACTGTTCATTTGCCTGGACCCACCTTGGTTTCTAAGCACATACAGTATCCTAGGGTTCTATTCCGTCTGTATCACTGAAGCGTTACAGATTGTGCGATAGGTTAGGTCAAATGCTGGTTGGCCTCTCTAACCTCTAGGCTAGTACTGCCCCACTGTGGGGTCCCACTGTGAACATAAATGGAGATTGAGGAGTGCAGCTTTAATGGTTCTTACATTGTGCTGGCTAACATACATTTAGAACGTTCAGTTCTGTGTGAACGCTGCATCGAGGCCATTACCAGCCAGCTCAGTGCTCCAACAACTTCAGTTGAGGAAAGTTTCTGTGAGACTCATTGCTCACTAACATCACATATTTATCATGGTGATTAGGAGGTCTAAGTTAGTGGTGTGTTGTTGGTTTTAGAATGTTCTCTGGTAGAGCAGTATCGACATGGGGTCTGGGATGTTTACCTACCAGGCTCTGTGTGAGAGAGATCTATTTTTCTATTCAGTGGCATCTCTGCATGCCTGCAGACAATGACAGTGGCAGTGCAGCAGACACCGTGTGTGTGGGTGTGTCTGTGTGTGTCTGTGTCTGTGTGTGTGGGTGTGTGTCTGTGTGTGTGTGTGTCTGTGTGGGTGTGTCTGTGTGTGTCTGTGTGGGTGTGTGTCTGTGTGTGTGGGTGTGTCAATGCTCATGGCGCTATCTCTTTCCTCAAACACACACATGAGAGGTCTCTTTCCACCCACAGAATGGTGTCTGCTGTGTTGCTACTGTCATTGTCTGCAGGCATGCAGAGATGCCACTGAATAGAAAAATAGATCTATATCAGAAAAGAGAGAAAGAGAGGATGAGGGTGAAGGGATGGAGGAGAGAGAGAGAGAGAGAGAGAGAGAGAGAGAGAGACAGAGAGAGATAGAGAGACCGATATAGGGATATCGCTTATCTTCGCTCTCGCGTCCGATCGCGCTATCTCGCTCTCGCCCTCCTCTCGCACAGTTAGAGCTGGTGTCGCATTGCTGCACTAGGCACACTTGGGGGGTGGGATGACAAATAGCCTTTATTTAGCCTAAAACATATGCTGGAGAGCCACAGGACACAGGAAGTGGTAGGAAAACAGCACCTTTTGCACAGGATGTCTCCATGCACATTATTCAACACTACACCTGCTGCCTTGAAATACAGAAGGGCGGCGGTAGAAAATGCATGGATTTATTCATTAACTGATCTGTAGGTGAGATGAGATGTTCTGTTGTGGGAAGAGGTAGGAAAGGGGTTTTACGATTGCAGTGGTTTACTGATGTGAATCTCAACACCTACGTATCGGTAGCTTGGCCTTGGTTTTGGCCACACACACACACACACACACCACTATATCTCAATACCACACACAGATTAAATTCCCAAGATGCGATTCAGCTGTAATGCGTCCTACCCCACCAATCCCCATCAACCTTGTTTCCTTTGATACAGTGCTGGCCCCAGGCATCTCCATATGAAACCACACACACACACACACACACACACACACACACACCATATACTCAAGTACCACACAAACATTGCATCTCTCTCTCTCTCCTGTTCTCTCTCTCTCTCTCTCCCTCCACACACACAACACAACAAACACAGACACACACACTATCACACTATCACACATCTTCTCTCTGTCTCTCTCTCTTCTCTCTCTCTCTCACACTCACACACACACACACACACACACACACACACACACAACCCACAAGACAGACAGCAGACAGACACACATGCCCAAGCATCCATCCTTTCCTTCCCTCCTCTCCCTCTCTCTGCCTGAGTGTGTCAGCGAGGTACAGGAGACAGGTCTAACAGGGAGGTTCAGCTTCCTCAGCATTACCTCTTTTACCTGTGTTGAATTATTTAGATGGAAGCCGTTTGAGTTTGAATACTGACAATTCCTCTTTACACTTTGAGAGGACCTCCTGTGTAGAGTGGGCTTTAGTTACAGGGCAAGGCTGTGTGTGTGTGCGTGTGTGCGTGTATGTGCGCTTGTGCCTGTGCGTGTGTGTGTGTGTGTTGTGTCACCTCACAGAGCCCATGAATGAGCTATAATCCTTCTGATGTCTCTCTGCTTTGATGTTTGCGAGGAAGGAGAGGAAGATAGGTGAAGAGAGGTTTTAATAGGGGAAAGAGAGGGAGAGAGGGAGGGAGAGGGCAGAAAGGATGGAGGGAGAAGCAGATAGAGGGAGCAATTAATGGACAGAGGGGCGGGAGAGAGGGAGAGGATGGAGATAGGTAGCCTTGCCTTCGACACTGATACCTCAGCACACATGTGGTAGTACAGAAATTCTTCATGCCCACATAATATCGTTTCCTCTGATTATTTTTTTGTGCTTAGTAAAACTTTCCATTTGACTGCTTCATGATACTTCAGTATATCAAGGTGTTCAGAGGTTGCATACAGAATAGTCTCTAGTACCAGTATAGGTTTTAGTACTGGAATAAATGGCCCATTGGCAGTACTTTGTCTGAGCAGTTTATCATCTAGATGTCACTTTAAAAAACTCAGCGCACCATAAAGTCAGTATTTGTACTGTATCACCACGTCCTATCACACTATCGCGCTACATTTCTCACAAACTGAGTAAAACACAGACAAGCCTCTCTATTGCAGAGATGAAATGATAAAGATCTTTCCACTCCAGATAAAGGAATAAAGGCTATGAATGAGAGAACAGCAGAGATAGAGTTCTCTCTGCTTTGGATCTCTGCTTGTTCTACGCTGCTCGGATCAGTGGGCAGAACCCCAATGTGTTAGCAGGCCTGTGTAGGGAGGAGAGGGATATGGAGGTGAGTTTGACTCTGTGTCACCGGGGTAACAACACACCACAGAGAGGCAGGTGGGGGAGTGTACTACACACAGGGTTCAGTGGATAACGGGGTGTATCTCAGTCTGAAGTATCTTCCTCTTCTTGTCTCCTTCACCTCATCTAATACTGTTCTGAAGACACTTGATAGGTAGGCTGTACATTAGATAGGTATTGTAATATGGTAATACCTCCACCTTGCCCTCTGATTGGCTGGATGGAATTTTGTTTTGTTTACACCTGTCCAATCATTTTATATATCCACGAGTTTGTAGGGGCTAAGGGGTCAATTTGGGTCTGGATGTAGTCTTGAAAAGCCTTCACTCCACTACAGATTTTTTGATAATTCCTGCCTTTTTGGGCACTCAATGCAACGTTTGGATTTATATTGTAGTGCTACAGGTTCTTTGGTTTGTTGTAGTTGGGTGAGAGTATTACTGGACTGATAAAAGTAGGACGTGGGAGGTACTTCCTGTTGATGGCTCAATCACTCATTGATCCCTGACACCTCATTGGTCTGTACTCCTGACACCGCCTTTGCCTATTTCCTTCATTTTGAGTTCTAGAGAAATTACAAAAAATGTGTCTGTGTTCAAAGAGTATGAATATATAAATACATAATATACACTTTAATTTATTTTGTATGATATTGTCCAAAGAAAAGGGTTGACTGCTTTATTTGACTGGTTCTGTTCGTGTTAAACCAAACAAAAATTGTGCAATAATTGAAAAATTGTGATTTTTTTTTTCTTACGTAGTATGCTATAATTGATTGTAAATAGAGATAGGGGTGGCAATAACAATGTAGACTCTTAACTTCCACATAGATTGAATGATAAATTAGAGACTGATGTTTCTTCAGACCATTGCCTCATCTCCCTTTGTACATTTGCCACAGTTCCCGGTAAAGATGATTTCATTGTCAAATGTATTGTATGAAATAAAAGTTTAAGATATGGAGATTATTCATGAGAAAAAAAACATAGCAGTGTTACGTCGTGTTTACTGCTAGATGCAATAACAGACTGATTTCCCACAAACCCAATTTAACTTCAATCACATACACTGGTGATACTGTGATTCAAAATGGAAAACCAACGAGATTCTCTTAATGGTCCAATTCTCATTCAACCCTAGTAGCATTCTGGGTGTTTTTAGAACTGCAGTGTGTGTGTGTGTGTGTGTGTGTGTGTGTGTGTGGGTGTGTGTGTGTGTGTGGGTGTGTGTGTGTGTGTGTGTGTGTGTGTGTGTGTGTGTGTGTGTGTGTGTGTGTGTGTGTGGTGTGTGTGTGTGTGTGTGTGTGTGTGTGTGTGTGTGTGTGTGTGTGTGTGTGTGTGTGTGTGTGTGTGTGTGTGTGTGTGTGTGTGTGTGTTCCTCCCTAGCATTACTACAGAAGCGCATTCCCCCAGTCTATTCAATTTACAAGAGGCTGAACTATGTAGTACTGTGACCGACCCTGTTCTGTGCTCCTGGGGGAATACATTTGATGTTGTCTGTGGGACTCCGTGTTTCGGCCCTGTTCTGTGGCAGATGTTCTGTCTCCCACACACGGGGGAAAGTCAGTCAACTAAACAGACAGTAATAACCTTCCGCTTAGGGTTTTCTGCTGCTTAATGTGAGCTTTATTGAAGCTATAGTGATTCAGCAACAATGAGGACCATTTAGTTCTCTCCTTTCCAACGCCTCTTTGTTTCAATCAACATCTCTGCAGTTTCATGTCAGACTACTGTCTCAGAATGGTAGAACAGGTATTATAGAATGCCTGGATTACAGAACAGCTATTGTGGAGGTCCTAAAAGACCTGTTGCATTTGGAGGGTTAATATCAGGTGTTGACAGAATCCACTGTCTTTTCCATCTCAGTTCACATCAGTGCAGATGTCAGTACTCATTCTTATGCAATAGCATGAACTTTACCCCCCCCTGAACACACACACACACTCCACTCTCTGCTGCATTACTGCAGGAAAACTGCTCAGTGTGTGGCTCGAGATATCACAGAGGCTGGACTGCACCACTGACCCTCCATGCCAGACCTCCTCTCTTTCTCTATCTCTCTTTCTCTGCTCAGACCATGAGTGGTTCATTTGTTTTCACATTACCCCCCATTTTATTCTCCCTGCCATGACTGATGCTGGCTGTGTGCTGGCTGTGTGGTACATGTGCCAGTGTTCTACATGCTGATTGGACCCCCTCCAGTATCTGGCTACGTGATTGGGCTGAAGGGGAGAGGCCGGAAGGCCAGCTGACAACTACAGATGAGTGTCATTACAGAGGTGTGTTCAGGGCCAGGACTGTTCTGTAGTGAAGGGAATAGGCAAGGTGACATCACACACACAGGGACACAATAAAACATACACACACACATATATAGTGCATTTGGAATGTATTCAGACCCCTTGACTTTTCCACATTTTGTTACGTTACAGCCGTATTCTAAAATGGAGTAAATAGTTTTTTTCCCCTCATCAATTTACACACAATACCCCATAACGACAAAGCAAAAACAGGTTTTTAGATTTAAAAAAAATATATATATATATACAGTGGGGAGAACAAGTATTTGATGCACTGCCGATTTTGCAGGTTTTCCTACTTACAAAGCATGTAGAGGTCTGTAATTTTTATCATAGGTACACTTCAACTGTGAGAGACAGAATCTAAAACAAAAATCCAGAAAATCACATTGTATGATTTTTAAGTAATTAATTTGCATTTTATTGCATGACATAAGTATTTGATCACCTACCAACCAGTAAGAATTCCGGCTCTCACAGACCTGTTACTTTTTCTTTAAGAAGCCCTCCTGTTCTCCACTCATTACCTGTATTGACTGCACCTGTTTGAACTCGTTACCTGTATAAAAGACACCTATCCACACACTCAATCAAACAGACTCCAACCTCTCCACAATGGCCAAGACCAGAGAGCTGTGTAAGGACATCCGGGATAAAATTGTAGACCTGCACAAGGCTGGGATGGGCTACAGGACAATAGGCAAGCAGCTTGGTGAGAAGGCAACAACTGTTGGCGCAATTATTAGAAAATGGAAGAAGTTCAAGATGACGGTCAAT